ATAGGTCTCCAAAGGTGTGGAAAGAGTTGCAGACTCAGATGGACTAACTACCTAAGACCTGACATCAAAAGAGGCAAATTCACAGTACAAGAAGAACAAACCATCATTCAACTTCATGCTCTCCTCGGAAACAGGTGAATTCAATCACCACAAAGTTTTGATTTTTTGTGATTGGGTTTGAGCCAAATCAAATCTCTGATAGTGTCATGAATTTTGCATAGGTGGTCAGCGATTGCAACTCACTTACCGAAAAGAACAGACAACGAGATCAAGAACTACTGGAACACACACTTGAAGAAACGTCTGGTTAAAATGGGGATAGATCCAGTGACTCACAAGCACAAGAACGAGACTCTTTCTTCATCCTCTGGTCAATCCAAGAACGCAGCTACACTTAGTCATATGGCTCAATGGGAAAGTGCTAGGCTTGAAGCTGAAGCAAGACTAGCTAGAGAATCAAAGCTTCTCCATTTACAACATTACCAAAACAACAACAACCTTAACAAATCAGGCTTCACTCACAAAACATCAACAATTTGGACAAAACCAAACGAAGGTAAGAGAGATTGAATCTCCGACATAGATTTGATTAGTTTTGTTAATGTTTCATCGGAATTTTTGACAGGTAACGGAGATCAACAACAACAGCTTGAATCTCCGACATCGACGGTAACATTCTCCGAGAATCTTCCTCTGATGATCACGCCTTTAGGAATCCCGACGGAGAACAGAAATAGAAACAACGAAATTCCTCCGGCGATGATTGAATTCGCCGTCTCTTCCTCCACCTCCTCCGATGTGACTCTGGTCAAAGAACACGAACATGATTGGATGAGGCAGATTAACTGTCCGACGGAAGAAATCGAAGAAGGGTTCACTAGTCTCCTGCTCAGAGATTCAACCGCCGGTAAAAACGACGCCGCGTCGGTCGCCGGAGCCGTCGTGGTCAACGAGAGTGACTATAACTACTATGAAGATAACAAGAACTACTGGAATAGCATTCTCAACTTGGTGGATTCATCACCGTCCGATTCTCCAACGATGTTCTGATCCAACGGTCTACAATGATTTCGCTCCAAAC